CGGCGGATGCTGTAAGTGTAAGAGGAGTCCTAGCACTGGTGCACGGTTATCAATGCAATAGATTCAAAAAATAACCGAGCGGGCGGATGCGTGAGGTGAATGGGCGATGTTTGTAATAAGGACCGGTTGTGATCATACTGCTGATGCGAAGGAGCCGGTAATTTTGTAGGTAGTGGTTGATGGGCTGTATGGGATGCTCCCGACGCTGTGTGAAATGAGAGGGGTGGTAGAAGTCCCCGTTGTCACGATGATGTGAACTGAGTATATTGATTGACGCAGCAGGGCATTTCCAGTGTAATCACCAATGATGGCTGTGATGTAGGTCGGTGCGAATGTTCGTGCAGAGATGAAAAAGAGTGCCCTGCGGTCATAGCAAATGGCGTTACGCGGCGGTCGTTGCCTCTGGTCTGGAGTTGTCCAACGAGGCTGGTATTTGCGCGGCGTATCCGCTCACTGTTGGGGAATGTTTGTTGGGTTGGGTGTTGACGCTGATGATCGAATGCGCTTAAGATTTACCAGTCACTATTTTGTTTTTCAGAAGGTCGACCGAGACGACCCGGTTGTCTGCTGCCGTTTTCTTCTGCAGATCACTCATTCCAGTGAAAGTCCTTCTAGGTCTCCGGTTTGTTTGATATATGTCTGAGAGAGATCTTATATAAGGGTTTGTAGTGCCCTTTTTATCCTCCATGTCGGGAATGCCTCTCTAGCGATATCGCCATAAAAGATTACTTTTGCTAATCGCTATATGTCCATCCTCATGCGGTGCGACGTACACACACACAGAGACACGTATCCTGTTTTATCTTTACTGATCTATGTGGGGTATTATCCCGTTTCGAGGTTGTACGAGAGATAGGCAGCCGTTAGGTGAGCTTTGTTTAACATAAGCTTAGTAGCCATCACCTCATTGTCGGGTTTTCCACAGCATTACAATATCTGAATATGTACCGGAGCAGTATGAAGAGGCAGGAGTGACCGGACGGGGATGACCGTCCCAACAGACGGCAGTTGGCAGTGTCAGAGCTACGATGGAGACCGACTGTAAGTTGGGGGCTGACAAATGCGGTCATATTGAATGGACGGAGTAGATGAAATTTTTGGCTTTTGAAAGGATTGGTTTAAATGGTTTTGGGATGGGTTGGCGAGGTCCAGTTAACTACCAGTGAATATTTATCGGTAGGGGAAGACAATGTTGAAATTAATCCCTCATACTTTAGCCTACCTTGACTATCGCTTCCAGTTAGTCTCTTGCACTTATGTTCGCCAAAACCTTACAGAACGTTGAAACTCTTTTCAAAAAATGGCCATCATTGCAAAAATCTCAAACAACCTAGTGAACTCTCCATTCCAATGAGATTACCTGAGGGAAGAGTCTTTTTGTGTTTCACCGGAGATGTCTTGCATTGCGTTTTATACCACCAGTGGTACACACATACGCTAACTCGCACATCATATGTTGTAAAGTCCTTCAGGTTATTGAGGGTACAGGAATCTGCGGAAAATGGTGTCCCACTTCCATTACAAGTTGCAACTATGTTTCCGCCCTGGAATGCAAGTGCCTTGGATGAAACAATACCACCCGGATTGTGCCAGCGCATCTCCAGAGATTTAGGACGAAGTGCATACGCAGCCACATTTGTTGCCAAATTGTCATCTGTTAAAAAATTGAATAAACCTCATAAAGTTGCTATAAAAAATGCAGTCAAGCTAAATGAAAATTTAATATATACTGTCCTAAACAGTTAAATGGCGGTAGTACTGTCTGCAGTTTTCACCCTTATCTACGCGGCCCCAGGCCGTTCTCACTTGGCTCGACCCACAACATACTGTCGGATTTTGTGACAGATACGTCTCATTTCGCGATCTTGTCGGTGGACTCTTCTATCAGCAATGGAGTATCTGGCCTCATCTTTCATACTTCAGTTATGATCACTATCACTTTTACGATACCATCCCGGTTTTAATCAAGCCTACAACTCCCTCCCCAAGCGCGACAGGTTTCTATCCACAAAAAACTTTCAAGACACATTTTTTCACTGTCTGCTATTTTTTTTCCTTTGTTCCACTTTATTGGCTGGGATCATTTGGCATCATGACCAAACTGAGGTTATACTTATTTGAAAGCCCTATACGCATGTACACCAAATAGGGACTTGCGAGGTGTATACCTGCATTCCCCTCATATAAAGTGAACTGAGCCGAACGAAACTTATAAAGGCATAGGAGAGTAATGAGAAGAAGTCATAGAAGGTAAATAGTACTTTTTGGCCCAGCATACTTCTTGCACACAGTTAGGAAGAGGATCATTAAAAAGCCAGCATTCTGACAAGATTGAACTATTCTCGGGTGACGCTGCACGACTATTAATATTACAATCCGTCCTAAGTAATTTTTTTACGAAACGCAAACAAACTCCAGATATACGCTTGATATTTCAAGAAGTCAGCCGTCTACCCTATGCTGTTTCAGCCGAGGGAACTTCAGTAATTCTAAAACAACGTATTGATAGTTGAAGACCACAGTTTATTTTTGCGCGTGATTATCGCTTCCATGCTAAGTTCAGATATTTAGTAGCACATCAGGACTTAGCATTTATTCAAATGTTTCTTCCCTCTACATGAACACAATTCCTTAGAAATACACGTGTGTCGATGAATATCCTCAATAAAAGAGGGTACTGAAATTACTCAGAACATGTGCTGATTTTCACAAATAAATGCTAAAGAGAAATGATAAAGTATATATTAACGACTAATTTTATGAGCTGTTTTCGATGTGATGTTTGTTTTTTCTTCCTGCGTGACTGTGTGTAACAACTACTTTTTTGCATGATTAAACTACCTTCCTGCCACCAACGTTTTCAATTTATTCATATTAGTTGCATATATAAATTCGGATATGGCTAACTGTCGCTGATTTGAAACATGCTGATATTTACTTCTACAAATCTGCTTACCATAATCCTGGGCTAGGTCAATTCATATCCTCTAGTAAACTCAAATATTCCAGTATCTTACAAACTGCTGTCAACGACACACCCGAACATTCACAAAAATACGGTCAGCAGACGGAGTAAGGAGTTTGGTCTTCGATGCAAAGAGCCCAGAAGCCGAGAAAGTTAGACTGGACGGTGCCTTTAAAAACTAACAAAATTATGCCGTTCTAAAAAAACACTTGGAGGCAAAGGAGCTTTGATTGTTGGGACATAACATTTAGTTACCTGCTAATTTGCGTGCCGCAAGACGCACATAGGCCAATGCATCTAAGGTTACCGCTGAGGGATAGGGCTGATGATACATAGACGTGGTATTTAAATGAAGATATGTCGAATAATTTAGAAAGGATGATTTGTAAAACTACTTGTTAGTATAAATACGTAATCTGCAGACCTCAGTTAAGTGAAACTTGCAAAAGTTGTATGAGGAGTAGGGATATGAGGGAAGGAACGGTTAGGACACTGAAATGACAGCAGATTATAGTAAGATTCTAACTTACTCAACCAAAGTAAGGCTTCAAATTCTCCGACAAATGTGAAATGGTCATTGCGCCTATATTTAATTCTATAACGCATTATTCGATTCTTGCATGATACAGGAAAGCGTGTTAGGCCACATAGGCTTCTGTTTGTTGTAGGTCAGTGGCATGATCCAGGTGTAAGAGCACGACAACTTAGGGCGGAACATTCGCTTTTTATTTAGGATTGCAATACTACTTAACAAAGTTATTGTACGAACTGCATGATTCGGATAGGCCCAGGAGACATAAAGATCTTGCATTCGTTCTGCAAGTGTTTTGCTGGCTCCGGAAAAAGAAACTTAGCGACGACTGTTTACCCCCACCTACTTTCGTTTTTTTCACACTGTAGACATATGCATCAAAAAGAATTACGATATACGCTCTATAATAAACGAGAAACGTACTTTCCGCAAGGGTTTTCTTCAGCACACCGGTCGTGGTAGAACACCAGGCAGCGGCAGAGTCAGTCGACGACATCGCATCTTTTGGGGTGACGCAAACTTCGACAAAGACCGTATACTCGGTGGCGTGAGCTAGGCCAGAGAGGACACAGGCTGGAGTCCACCCACTCCCAGAACACTGAGTAACCTCCTTTTCATTCAGAATCGCAATGGCCCTAGAGGATCTTAGTGTACCGAGCGCCGGGTACGGTATGGTCCAAGAGACCTGCAGCTCTTGCGTTTTCACCGCATCTACCTGCATTTTTTGTGCCGTCTCGGGAACTAGAAATTCAAAGACGACTGGTTACGGCACATTTATCTCCGTTTTTTTTCATAGTTTAAATATATGCATAAAAAATGGCAGGATTTAAATGCTATAATAGCCGAGAAACGTACATCTCGCGAGGGTTTTCTTCTGCGCGCCGGGAGTCCTTGAACACCAGGCAGCGGCAGAGTCAGACGGCGACCCCACATCTGCTGGAGTTACGCAAACTTCGACGAAGACCGTATATTCGGTGGCGTGAGCTAGGCCTGAGAGGACACAGGCCGGAGTCCACCCACTTCCAGAACACTCAGTGACCTCCTTTTCATTCAGGATCGCTATGGCCCTCGAGGATCTTAGTGTACCAAGCGCCGGGTGTGAGATGGTCCAGGAGACTTGAAGTTCTTTCGTTTTCACAGCAAGTACTTTCACATTCTTTGCCGTCTCTGGAGCTGCAAGTCACAGAATTCGGAAAATCAAAAGTCTTGAACCATTATTTGGGAAAGAGACGGAACGAAGCCAAACCACACATAAGAAAGGC